GAAGAGCTTTAATTCATTGCTCAAAACTGCAGACTGCACCTCGTGCTGCTTTTATTTCTTCACTGGATGCTGGCTCTGTGGAAGCCCAAAGCCAAGATCTGGACTTTTGCAAGTGATAATAGCAAAATCTTTAGGTGTTCATGGTATGATTCTTTGTCCACTGAAGTTAATGAGAGTTTAAAATCTGCTCCAGAGAGAGCTGTGGGAGACCCCCAGCGAGTGACAGCTCTGTGAAGTTGGGGTTAACTCAGCAGCTGAATCAAAACTCTTGGATTGTGTCAAAATGTGAGGCTGAAAGCACAACAGGACCTGACTCAAATCACCCACTAATGATTCCACAGGTGCCCTTCATTTCTGGGCTGTTCTGTGGTGGAAAAGCCTTTGTTCCTTTGGCTCTCAGTAGCAAAATTCCCCAATTTCCATCCTGCCTGCAGCGTGCCTGTGCCTTGTTCCCTGTGCCTGCTGGTCACAAATTCACATTTCAATTCCCCTTTCACCCCATGTGTTTGACCCCACTTTTTTTGTCCCTCTGAAGGATCTGACAGTGGCAGAATTCCTGCTCTTGGCCCCTGATTTAGCAGGGGCTGTAAAACCAAGGCTGGATCTGTTGGAGACTCCTCCTGTGTCTGGCCTGGCCTGGCCATCAGAGCTCCTGGTATTTAAATAATTAATAAATTAGTAATTCAATTACTTTAAAAATTAAAGGATAAGAGGAGGCAAGGAAGTAAGAGGTGAGGGAAATTATCCTTCTCTCCTGACACCACCATCCAAATTTAAGTGACGTGGCAAAGACCATGGTTTTAATTCTGCTTACACTACTGACTCTACAGATCCTCCTTGCTTGTGAAAAGGCTGCTGCACAGCCTTGAAGCAATTTTTGTCCTACTAAAGATGCTTTCCTGCACCCAGAAACTGGATTTGATGTGTGTGAGGAGCAGGGGAATGGAGAGATGGAGGATGAGGCAAGTTCTCCATTCAGGTTTTGCTGAGGAATAGTTACAATAAAAACCTCTACAGGTGTGACCTCCAGGGCTTTTTCCTGAGCTCAGGCAGATCTTCAAATCCTTGGGCTTCTCTAATAATTGGCAGGGGATATTTTTTTGTCCCATACAAATTCCATCCTATTCAGGGGCTGGGATCTGGGTGGGAATTGCTTTATACCCATCAAGCTCCAAGGCTGTATTCCATCATTCCCACCTAGAAATGGAAGTGCCCTCAGGGCTTACGTGGCCAGAACCCAGCTGCAGTTACCAGTAGTGTTTATAATGTGCCTCCAAAAAATGTAAGATTTCAAATTGCAGAGACTTTTGCCCCTGCTGTTCCCAATAGATGCTGTTCAAGCCCCCACTGTCTCTGATGGCCAGAAACATCCTAATTTCCAGCCTACACATATTCACTGCTGGCCTGCACACATTTATTCCTAACATCATGTTTGAGCATAAATGCATTTTCCCTTTTGTTGGTATTTTTCCCTGTGGTGTTTATGTAGAATAATCAAATTCTCCCTTTGGCATTCTTTTTTGCCAAGCTAAACAAGCCAAGATATTTAGTTTCCCCTTACAAGACAGCTCCTCCTGCCCTATTCTACCTTTCAGAATCTCTTACTTGAACTGAAATTACCCACAATTTACAGGTAGTTCAGATGAAATCTTGCCAGGCCTAATGTAAGAGCGATAGCTCATCTCAGAGAGAATTACCTGATAATTTCTGGGCTTGCATTTACCTTTTTCATGGCCATGTCACAATTGTGACTCTCCTGGGATGGACTAATAAACCTGAACCCTTCACCTCTGTCCTTTGCAGCAGCTGCCAGCCCACAGCAGAAATTCTCGGTATTAGCCTCATCCTTGGCCTTCATTTTGTGCTATTGAATTTCATCTTGGTTTTCTCACTCCAGTTCTTGGTCTTGGACTTTTTCCTCTCTCACAGCCTGGTTCTGTTTTCTGTTAAAGGTGCCCTACAAACTCCAGTGGGACTTTCTGAGCACTCCTCCTCATTCTGTGCTGAGGTCATTAATGGAAACTGGGAGTAGGCTCGAGAATGGCCCTTCAGGAATTGCAGCAGCAGCCCAGGAGTTCCCTGGGAATCTCTTGCCTTTAACCAGTGCTTTTCCCACCTCAGGACTGCCAGAGAAATCCACAGTCTGGGGTTTCCCATCTGCTTCTCTGGTTTGATCCCACCTCTAATGAAGAGATCCCACATTTATGCAGTTTGAAAATCTGGAAAACACATTTAGTGATGTAAAAACCCTTTCTAAATACACATGCTATAATCTAATGTACTCATCAGTGATTTCAGGTCCTAAAGTTCAAGGGATTTTAACTGCTGGTCACTTCGCTGTGCTCTTGCTTGTTCTTCATATCTAGCTCAGCTCATTCAGCCCAAACTTTGCCTCTCCCTGCTGGATCAGCCTTCCTGCACCCTCTCCAGTGTAAGCCAGAAGTGAAAAGGGAAAAGGGAGGAGTCTGGGAAGGTCTCCCAAAAATCTAAGAAGAAATTTCTAGAACTGGGATGTTAAAATACTGTTGTACATCCAGCATGTCTGTCCCTGGGAGAATCCTCCAGAGAACCAAGACCATGTGTGCTGGAAGTGTGGTCCTGCCCTGATTTTATTCATTGATTATTCAGCCTCATTTTTATTTTTACTGTGAAGTTTCGGGTCCCATCCTCAGGGGTTGTTCAGCCCCGCATTGCCAACAAGAGGATTTTTGGCTGGTGACTGAAGACAGCTTAAACCTGGGGAGAGTTGTCCCCATTGAAGTCTTTAGGAGAGTTTTAAGAGTGACTTAACCCACATTGTTCTTTATCAACATCTGTAATTTAGCCAACAGCAGTGTTTGTGCTCACAGGGTGTGTGTCAAATCCCCTTTTGGGGTGGAAAATATAACCCTACAGGAAAGAATTAATGGTAAAAATATCTTTCCTCTGATTTAGCATGGGAAGGCAGCTCTGATCACAGAAGGAGAACATCCCAAGCTAAAAACTGAAATACTGCACACATCCCCCCCAAATTTCTCCTAAGGCAGTCCAAGTGCTCATCCATGGGCAGGGGACTGATTAATGTGGTGTTAGATCTCAGTGTCCCTGCTTTGGTGGCTTTCCTGGTGCCAGCATGTGACACTGGGCTCGGGATAATGACTGGAAGGGAAGACTCATTTATTCCTGCTTGGTGGGGGGCTTTTCAATCTCACACACAAAGGCACAACAAGAGCCAGCCACTGCAAGTTGGACAAATTCAACCTTGAAATGAGACACGGCTTCCTGGCTGCCAGGAGAATTAAAGTTTGAAACCACTTGTGAGGGAAAACAGTGGAGTTGCCATAGCTTGGAGTTCAGACAAGACTTGCTGCCTCTGTGAAAAGGCTTTCTTTAATGCAGCATTTTGGAGGAGTTCTGTGATTTGTGTGTGCAGGAGGTCACTTGAAAGGAGTGGAGCAATGCTGCCTGGCCTTGGTGGGTGAATTACTGGATGTGATTAAATGACCTTTTTGGTTTGGGTCACTGAGTTTCTGTAATAAAAGGATTGGCTGCCACATGGAGAGGGCTGTGAGCTGGGGAGGAAATCAAAATGAATGCCTGTCCTACTGTCCTTCTGACTGTAAATAATCCAAGTGTTGCTATTTAGCCTGCTTAAAACCTGCAGAAATGTTAATAACAAAATACTTCAGTGGCAGGAGAAGACTTTGCTTCCAAGCCACCCCCTGTTCTTTAAGGATCTTTCTCTCCACAGGATTTGTAATTTTGCTCTCCATCAGAGCCCGTTTTGTATCGATCCTCCTCAGGAAGGTGGTTGGAATGGAAAGTGCCTTCGACCACTGGGAAGGCAGCAGAGCTCACTGCTGCAAGTGCTGCTGTTTTTAGATCCTAGGAGAAATCTGAAGCAATGATTGTCATTATATTTTCATTCTCTTTGCCTTCAACAACAAACCATAAAGGCTGTATTCAAATTGCCTGCTTTAAAGATCTTGAAGAGAGTCCCAGAGTAACAGTGAGCTGAATTGCTCCATCAGGTTTGGATTTCTAGGATTCACCACAGCTGAATACAGACAGAATTTAGGGATTTTTAATGCAGCCTGTTTTTCCAGCACACCAACTGCTTAATTCCAAGGACCTGCTCTCAAAAGGTTCCTGCAGCTTTAACAAGTGAGATTTGCAGAACTAACTAAAAGAACTTTGCCAACTTACTAAAAGAACTTTGCCACCATTGAAGCCAACAGAAAAACCTTCTCAGTGCTTTCATGGCAAAAGGATTGGGCATCCTGGCACCTTGAATTCCCTTGGAGGGAAAAAGGGAATAATTTTCTCCATTCATGAGCACTGTTTTCCACAGAATTCCTTTGGAAAAGTGGCTGGAAGAGGTGCTGCCCAACTGGCCAACTTGCTCTGGTCTCAGCAGGTGCAGCACTGCCCACTCCAGGCACTGCCAGCAGTGTTAGATCCAAACTCCAAGCCAAAACTGAATTTTGTGTCTTTCAGGGAAGAATTATATAAAAGGCAGTGGAAAGGGGTTTGTGCAGCATTGTTGGAATAATTTCAAACTAATCAACAGTGGGTTGATTGAAAACATTGAGGTTTTAAGGACAAACACTTCTTATTCCAGATATTCTGCAGTTTTCCTGAAAGGAAACTCAATTTGATTTTTCATTGTCCATCAGCATAGCAAACATAATAATGCTGAATTAGACCACGAGTTTTACTAGCTAAAATTATTAATGAGGCAATTGTCTTCACACAAGGGTTCTCTTTGTTTATTATGGTTTTTGAGACCAGCCCTGGTTCTTGCAAACCTTGTGCTGCTCTGCTCATGGTGTGAAATCCATAATTTTGGGAGCTGGAAGGAGGCTGGGCAGGTCCGAGGGGCTCTCAGTCTTATCAGTGGCTTTGTGTTTACAGTTCATTAGCCCATGTTTAAAAATACCACACTGCCAATTTATCTCACAGCTGGGTTCATGCACGTTTTGAGCTGATCACTTGCTGAACAAAATCTCCTTTTGCTTCAGCTTGCAGATTCCCTCGTGCCCTTGGAGATCAAGCCTGGTATTTCCTTGGCAACAGTTTCTGCTGTGCTGCATACTAAGGACAACAAGCACGTGCTGCAGGTACAGTCTAATGGGAAAGGGAGAAAAATATCCTTACTCTGGCTTTTCCTGTCATCAACCCCTCCTGCAGCTCCTTCCCACTGGGGCAGAGCCCTTGGCAGAGGCTTTGCCCTGGCATGTGCAGGTGAGGAATGACACCCAGAGCAGGGAGTGGGATGCAAATAAATCTCTCTGCCCTCTTTTCCTTGGCCATGTGCCTGGCTGAGATGAATGGGGAAGTGAGATAACTCCTGAAGAGAGGCTACAGATCATCCTGCTGTCTTCCACAGTCAGGAACAGCATCAGTCAACCTCTCAGGACCAAGGGTTAGAGGAGAGACATGACCTGGGACATCAGGCTTGGGAGGGGACCATCTGCCTTCATTTTCCCTGGAGGTTGTACATCTCTGCTCTCCCTTCCTGCCACCCCCTTCAGGCTGGCTCTGGAATTCCTGGCATGAGTGCTCTGCAGGAGGAGGTGATGTCCAGGGACCTGCTCAGCAGTGGCTGCCTTGGTCCCCTTTCTGTCAGATCCATGAGCCTGCAGGGCCTCACTGAACAGCCCTTCCCACACTGGGCAGCAGAGCTGGCTGGGCCCAGGACACTTGGGAAGAGAGCCCAGTGTGGAAATGTCAGGGACATGAAGGTTGGTGAGGATTTCTGTGAGAGCACAGCAGACAGGCTGCCCCCCTCTTCCCAAGCTGCTTCCCTGGAAACCCTCAGCAGCTCTGGGAACGTTGAAGTGCTGCAGTGGAATTGGTCTGAGGCTGCTGTTGTTCATTTACTCCCTTCTCCACTCATTCTTGCTGTCAAATAAACTTAGGCTTGGGCTTACAATGCCAGAATCCTCATAAATGGCTGGAGCTAAGCCACGTTCTCATTCCCTGAGTAGTTGCTCTCTCTGAATTTGCCTGCTTCCCAACCTGTTACATCCTTTAGAGTGGGATTTTTAATTTTTTTTTCCTTCTCATCCCTCAGCTCCCTCCAAAACCTCCCCAACCTCCTGCCAGCAAGAAGAGGAAGCGAGTGAGTGATGATGTGCCCGAGTGCAAATCTCTGAAGCCTCTGCTGAGTGGCTCCATCCCCATGGACCAGTTTGTGCAGACTCTGGAGAAGGTGAGGAGTCCAGCAGATTTCTGCACCTCTCACATGTGCTGCTTTGGTAGCAGAGAGAGGGGAAATAATTTTAGTGTAGCTTGAAATGGAGAAAGGCCAGTGAGTTGCCAAAGTGTGCAGGGTGTCCCTGCACTTCAAAATAGAGGGAATTGTTCCCTGTGGAGCCTTGTCCTGCTATGCAGGGTTCATGTCAGTGATCCCCTCCTGTTTCCCATGGAAGAAGAGCTTTTGGCTGAGTGATTTGCCTCACAGAACTTTTGGATTCAGCAGCTGAGGGAGTCTCAAAAAGCATTTAAATTTCCACAAGATTTGTAAGAAGGTGATCAAGTGAAGAACAGATCCTGGAAATGTCTCCACTGGTGGAGGAGCCTCCTGAAGAAGCTGCACAAATTTGGTTGCTGCTCTGTGGAGTCTCATTCTCAACTACAGGAGATAATTTAAGGTCCCTTCCAACCCAAACCAATCTGTGATTCCATGAAATTCCCCCTTGCCCCTGTGCCCTGGTCTCTCCTCTGTGCCAGTTTTCCTGAGCTGTGCTGATTTCCCTCTCTGTCCCTCCCCCACCCCAAATCCAGCACGGCTTCAGCGATGTGAAGGTGGAGGACACGGCCAAGGGCCACATTGTGCTGCTGCAGGAGGCAGAGACCCTGATCCAGCTGGAGGAGGACTCCACCCACATCATCTGTGACAATGATGAGCCCCTGAGGGTCAAACTGCGGGACCTGGTGCTCAAATTCCTGCAGAAATTTTAGCTCGTGGACATCAGGAGGCTGTGCAAGGAGAGAGCCTGGAGCAGCAGAACTTGGAGCTGTCCAAGGAGAGAGAATTTTGTGATTCAGAGACACCAGAAACCACCTTCACCTTCATGGAGGAGCAAGGGAGTATTTTTTAATATCTATTTTTTAAATCTTATTTTTAACCTGTTTTGGAATACTTTGGAGGAGATTCCTGTTGTGTAAAATTGCGAGCTGGGAATCTTACAGGTGATAGGAGCTGCAGAATAAATAACTGGAGTGTTTATTTACACCAGGCTGAACTGCTGCTCCCCTGTGTCCCTCAGCAGTCTCTGCCCCAGTCCTTCACCTGACAGAACTCTGTAGGAATATTGAAACAGTGGTCATTTTCCTCCCACTGCTTCTTCCCAATCCCCAGATCCCATTCCCTGCCTCTCCTCCCTGTGTGTTGTTCACCTGTCCTTCACTGGCACAAGGAGGGGAGAGCTGGTGAGGCAAAGACAAATAAAAATGGAAAAAGGGGGTCTGGTGGACATGGAGAACAGTGGGAAGAGCCTGGCCATTCCCTGCACAAGCAGGGGCACTTTGGAAAAGCTTTATCCTTTAGGAATTCAAGTGTTTATTGCTGCTGCAGCCTCACCTGTTCCATCCAGATCTGTCCATGGAGCTCCAGGTCCTTCACTACAGCTGGTTCCTCCTGGGTTCCTCCATCAGCAGTGGAGGAAACACCTCAGGAAGACACTTAGGGAAGTCCATAAAGTAGGAAAATTCCTAATGCTCATAAAAAACCTTTTGAGATTTAAGTGCCTCTTGTTTCTACCTTCCAAAAACTTGTCCTTGCAGCCCCCCCATCCCAAATCCTGGATGGAATTCTGAGTCATTTATCCAAAGCCATCTGTACTGCAGACCTGGGGAGGCTTTTCCCTCCCCAAATCACGTATTTGGGGCCTCACCTCAGTCAACAGTATTGCTTTTAAAGGAGACCCATTTCTCAGATTTACTGCTGTTCATTTTTTATTGGATTGTTTTGTATTTATTTGGTGTTAAAAAATAAAAAGCAGAGTGAGACTGCCCAGGAGGGAGCACATCCTGTGGTTTATAAAAGCCTCTCTATGCCCATTCCACATCCTTGTCCTGACACCTTTGGGAAATAAAGCTGCTCCTCCAGTTCATCCCTTTGAGGAGATGCAGGCAGTGGAAGCAGCTCTGTACTAAAATCTTTTTGCCACTGCAGTGTCCACATCCCATTTCATTCCCATGAAGGATTTCTGTTGGGTTGGGTGTGCAGATCCCAGCAGCCACACCTTTATCCTGTGTGTGCCATGAGTAGTGAGGACTGGTGTAACCAGAGGGAAAAACTTGGGGCAGTGGAATTAAATCCTCATCAGGGTTTGCAGTTTTGCTGCTTTGGCATCACTTAAAAACAGAGTAAAACAAACTGGGATCATTTCACTTTAATAAACTCCAAAAGGATTATTCCTAACCCAGAGAGGCAGTGGGATAAACTCATCTTTCTGCTGGTTACCTCAGCTCCAGCACTGATCCCACTCTCCAGTGCCTTCCTTTTCACATTCCCAAGGCGTTCCCACCCTCTCAAGGGAAGAAAGTAAAAATTAAAAGCTTTACATTTTTCTTCCTTTCATTTTGAGCAGGAAAACTTCTCATTGTTCCATCAGTCCAGCAGCTGAGAGTGGATTGTTTTGTTATATTCAGGTTGTGCACGCTGGAAAAACAAACATGCTGGGAGGGGAAGTCTTTAATGAGAAACCCTAATTAAACTGGAAAAAGAAAGTGCTTGTTTCTTCTGCACAGAGAGAGAAAAACAAACAGCATTTCTTTGGGCTGGGTCAGTCCTGCAGAGGGAACTGTGGCAGCCCAGGGAGCTGCCAGGGGAAGAGTACCATGGATGCAGGCCAGGCTTTATCCAGAAGTTCTCATTTTAATGGCCAAAGAACAGCAAAGGCTCCTGGCTTCAGTCTCCTTCTTCCAGAAGGGAAAATGAATCCCCTTGGCTCCCACGTGGTTCCTTGTGCCGTGGCCATCCTCATTCCCTGGATCCCACATCCCTCCCTGAGCTGCTCCCCTCATTAAACACAATTAAGTGGGGTGTGTGGCAAGTGATTAATTCCCAGTGACTTCCCAACCCTGTGCTCCCACAGAAATAATGGGGAGGAAAGGTTAAAATCAGATTTCTGCTCTGGGATGGCTTTTATGGAACAGCTGTTCCTGGGTGGAGAGGAGCTCATTGTGTTTTCTCTCCATTAATGCGAGACCCAATGAAAAAAACTGGACCAGATCAGCTGATGCCAGGTCCCTGCCCAGGCTCAGTCTCTGTCACTGGGATCTGTCACCTCCGTGGGCACCTGGATGTGAGGAGCAGAGGGAAACTGGAGCCAGGTGCTGGACCTGTGCCCCACCAGCAGCTCAGCCTTTGGAAGGAGTGGGAATGAGAGCAGAGGGATTTGGGACTGGCTGCGCATCATGGTCTGGGCAGGCTCATGGTGGGAAAGGTGGGAAAGTCCTGTTACAGGTGAGCTGTCACCTGGGAGCCATGCACTGTGACCCCATCCCTCAAGGATTCATCAGCTGTGCCCTCATTCCTTGAGGATCCATGGACTGTGAGTTCATCCCTTGAGAATCCATGGATTGTGAGTTCATCCCTCAAGGATCTATGGACTGTGACCCCATCTATCGAGGATCCATCAGCTGTGACCTCATCCCTTGAGGATCCATGGATTCATCCCTCAAGGATCTATGGACTGTGACCCCCATCCCTTGATGATCCATGAACTGTGACCCCATTCCTCAAGGATCCACGGACTGTGACCCCAGTCCTTCAAGGATCCATGAACTGTGACCCCATCCCTGAAGGATCCATGGACTGTGAGCCCATCCCTCAAGGATCCATGGACTGTGAGCCCATCCCCTGAGGATCCATGGACTGTGAGCCCATCCCCTGAGGATCCATGGACTGTGAGCCCATCCCCTGAGGACCATGAAAGGACAGGTCCTCCCTCAAGGACCCTCACCTGGGGCCAGTCACCCAGGAGGGGTGCCAGCAGCTCCTTTCCTGGCCTCCAGCAGGAGCTGGTGGCTTTCACGGCACTGCTGGGCAGCACGGGAGCAATTCCAGTGAAATTGCTTTTTATCAAGGAGTGCATCATCCAGAAGGGAAAATCAGGAGTGGAGTGTAAAGCACTTCACCCTGCCCTCCTCCTGGGAGCAGGGAATGAATTATGAACAGGATTTATCGCCTCTGTTTCCTCATCCCAGGGTACAAACCCTCCCAGAGAAACGGAAATGGAACCAGCGCTGTGCCTCCTCTCACCAAACACAGCAGTTACAGCAGGAAAAATTATTGATCAGGAGATTTTTACCTCAGGAAAAGCCTCTGGAGAAAATAGGCTCCAGCTGAGTCCTTGCCCAAGATGCTGATGGGCTGTTTTGGGAACCAGATCCCAAAGCATCCCACTGCTGCTGCCAGGCAGGGGTCCTGGAGTGGGGAATTCTGTGCCCTTCCCTGCCTCCCTGCAGTGTTTTGGGGAGAAATCACAGGCATTTGGGAGGTTGAGCATCCACCTCCTCCCTCCAGGACTAAAATCCCTTGGGGTTTCCCTGAAACCTCTCCTGGAAACAAACCCAAGCACAAACCAAGCCTTACTCCAAGGCAGAAGGGAAAAGAAAGGACACAATTCCCAGTGGGAGCAACATCAAGGGCAGGAAATACAGAGGTGAAAAGTGACAACCGAGGTGAAAAGTGACCACGGAGGAAGCAGCTGCTCAGGAGGGAGGGCAAAAACCAAAAGGCAGCAGGAAGGAAGAGGAAATCCAGGCACATGCAGGAAATCCTGGGGCATTCCCAGCCCAGTGTGGAGGGGATCCCATGGCTCATGGCCCAGCTGGCTTCATTCCTCCCCTCTGCTCCTCCCTGCAGGTTTGAGGCTGGGAATCTGCTTACAAACCTCATGGATCCGTTTGGTTTTCCCACCTCAGCCTCCTGCACAGGAGAGGGACTGGGAGTATCCTGAGCCAGCAGTGCCACAGGAACTGTCCCTAAAGGCTCTGGATCCCCAGGCAGGGATGGGCAGGTTTGCCATCCCAGCACTGGCTCAGCTGCTGCTTTCATTGCATACAAACACCCACACAAGCAAACTGGGATGGGATGTCCCTGGAAGCCACTCGGGTTCCAACCCCTCCCAGGGGCTCTCCTAGCCCAGCCATGAGCTCACCAGGGACACGATGGGGTTTAGCTCCAGGCACTGCCATCCCTGAGGAGTTTCCAGCATTCCAGACCAGCTCACCTGCCCCGTGGGAATAGAAGCTCAGGAGATGCCTGATTTTGGGGTGTCCCAGGGCCAGGAGCAGCAACAGCCCCGTGCTGGGCCCCTCTCCCAGCCCAGCAAAGAGGCACCGAGACGCTCCCAAGTTAAACTCTCCATTTATTGGAACCTTTTACAAAAAACTCAACATTGTGCTCGTGTCGAAGGAGTGTTCCTTGTCTCTCAGTTCCTGTTGGATTTGAAATCCTGGTGCTCACAGCACCGTGGGCACAAGGGGAGGGCAGGGGCCGTGTCACCTCAGTCGTTGCTATTTACAGCGGGAAAGGCCTCGCTCCGTGCCCGGGAGGAGCAGCAGAAACTCTGGAACAGGGAAAAGGTGCAGCTGCCAAGAGCCCTTCCCATCTCCTCAGGGCTGGGATGGTGGAGGCCACGTGCCCCAGGAGCTGGGATGGATCATACAACCAAACCTGAGCTTCGGAGTGACCCTGGGATGCCCCGAAAATCCCGGGAGAACGCTGGGTGGGAGCAAGGAAGGATGTTTGGGATGGTGGCACGTGTGGGAGCACTCTCTGGAAAAGCCCCCTCTCCTCCCTGGTGGAGGGGCCTCAGGACAGCTCAGGTGCTGGCTTGTCTCAGGAGCAGAAAGCTGGGCTGTGAATCCCAACCCTGTACTCCAGGGGTTTTGGTGGTGTTTGGGATGATTTGGGAAAGAGCCACAGCAGTAGGACTGGGAGGGGCAGCACCAGCCCTGTGGGTGGGGAAGATGTTCCTGCTGGCATTTCATTTCCCCACAGAATTCCATCCCTCCCAACGCTGCTGCTGCCCAGGTATCTCCCAGGAGCAGCCTCTTTACCCCTGCACCCCCAAATCCTTCCCCTTTAGGGGTGCTCAGCAAGGAGGGATTCATCCCTCAACATACAGAGAGATCCCACTGCACATCCTGTCCCTGCTCCAGCACAATGGACAGGGGGCCCTCCCAGCAAAAAAAAAACAGCTTGGGAAAA